TGCCCGGGCCCATCCTCAGCTCCTTCCCACAGAACACCGCCGTGGGATCCTCCACCTCCGCTGCCGTTGGCAGCATCCTCAGCTGTGACGGAGTGCCCATCAACTCCGGGGGCTTTGACCTCTCCTGCATCACCAGCCCCTACTGTGGCACAAGGTGTCCCCACTCCTAAAGCCACTGGTGGTGCCTGAACAAGGACCCCCAGGAACCCAGAAGCTGATACTGGACTAAGGACAGAGCTCTTGGCCATGGGTTTTGGAGACGCTGAGCATCCAGTGCTGCCCTTCCAAACGAGGCCAGCTGGGGCTCCCTAAAACCATGGCCAGTGTCCAACTTCCCTGCCTTACTCTCTCTCCCACCTCCTTCTCATCTTCTGAACTTCTGGGCTGTAGGAACCCCAAAGCCAGCTTGGGGGTTCTGCTGGCCCCTGTCTCTTCCTGAGACAGGAAGATGGATGACCTGGAGGTGATGAGTGCAGACTTTCTGCAGCTCCTGGTGCTCTTTCTGCCCTGGTCACCTCCTCTTTGGGGGAACTTGTTCCCCTCCTCAGAATCACTTAAGTTCTCTGCATCCCAGAGAAGATAAAAGCATCACCAGCAGGACAAGGGACCTGATCCTTCCGCTCTGCTGAGTTCTGGTGAGATCATCAGTGCAGTGCTGCCTCCAGCCCTGTGCTGCCCAGTACAAGAGAAATGTCAGAGTTAGCCCAGCAAAATGGTGCAGTGACTGGAGCATCTTTCCTATGAGGATGGGCTGAGAGGGCTGGCAGTGATCAGCCTGGGGCAGAGAAGGCTTGTGGGGGATCTTGGCAATGTGTAAAAATAGCTGATGAGAGGGAATTAATTTCTAAATGAAAGTCATCTGAGTCAAGCATGCTTAGGACTCCCTCCCTTTCTCTGTCGTAGGAGGCTCTGTGTAGAGAGAAGCTGAAGTTGTTAACATGCTCAGACCAAGGAAAGACACCAAACTGTGATCCTTACTGTGTTCTGCATTTGCAAGTGCCAGAAGGATGATTTTCAGCACTGGGAGTTTCATCTCTGGGCACTCAGGCCACAGCTGGGCTCCTCACAGCCCTCCCAGCCAGAAGGGGCTTTAAGCATTCCCTCTGGCAGACACAGCCTGGTGAGAGGCACTGCCTGTCACCTCCAGGTTCAGTGCCAAAGGAGCCTGGAGCACCTGGAAGTTCAGGGAGGAGTCTGAAGGAGGAGACCAAGCAGTCTGCTGTCAGGCAATAGGAGGCTGCAGGTGGCTTTGCTGCCTTTTGCTCCTCCTGGAGTTCACAACCAGCACAACCAGCCCCCTCCATGGGAAAAGTGTCCCTGGTGAACTTCTCTTGCCATCCAGTGCCCAGACAGAGACCGAGGCCTGCACCCCACTGTGCCAGGGCTGGAGACAGGCGCCTTTGCAGCCCCTGATGGTACCTGGAGCAGGGGCCTGACTCCCTCACAGGGAGTTTCTCTCTCTTCTCAAATGCCTCCAAATTTCATCTACTGTTAACATCCCACCCAGAGTCAGCCACACTGATTCTCTCTGGCAGGAGAGGACAAGGCCTTCTTTAAAAGCATCATCTCTCCATCTCTTCAGGTATCAAAATTGACTCATTTTTCTGGAGATGACACCTCCCAGAAGAAGGAGAAGAGAGAGTGATGTTATAAACTACTGGGTATCTTTGCCTCCAATGGAATCAGGAATCATTAGGGGTTCAGTGGAAAAAGTATTGTGGGATAGTACAAGACATGGGATGCTTAGAAGAAGCTGTAGAGACAGGGAAAGGGAAGGATCCAGGCATTTTGGTCTGCAGCAAGTGTGGGGAAACAGATGGAGACAGGGATGAGAGGGGCGAATGATGTGGGAATATGTGTCTGATCCATGTGCTGACCTGGCCACGCCTGTTGCTCTGTCTTGGTTGCCCACCTGCCAGTAGTTCCCTGTAAACAGAGTTATCAAGCCCAGCTGGAGCAGGGAGAAGGACTGATCCTTCCCTCTGTGCTTTGGAAGCCTCTGACCATGGGCTTTGAACAGTTCTGAAAGCTACTGTAGCCACATAGAGTTCCCTGGGGACCTACTGGAGCCCTCAGCCTCTTTCCAGAGGCCTCCTACCAGCTCTCATGCACCTCAGACCCCTGACCCCTCAGGGTGACTTAGCAAATCTGATGCTCAACTACTCATCAGGTAGGAACCTCCTCCCCTTGAGGCTGAGTCTGTGTGTTGAGTCCAGCTTTAACCTCGTCTCCTAGACCAACTCTGAAGCTTAGGAGACCTATAAAACTCAGTCTCAACACTGAGACTTGTGGGGGCACTTGAAGGTGCCCATGACACGGACATTCCTTTCTTCTGTGAGTGAGGAGCCTGAACTCCTGACTGTGTGGGACGACTTTGTAACACTGTCAGGAACGTTTTGAAAGCTCTGTGAAAGCCTGTATCGGGAGGACTCAATTTTCAATTGTATATCTGTTGAAAGGAAAGCCAGTCTCTATCATTTATCATCATTCCTGATGTTCCAGAGGACTGGAAGATGGTCACTGTGACACCTATCCATAAGAATGGCTGGAAGGAGGATCTGGAGAAGTCCAGGCCTGTCAGGCTGACCTCAGAGCCTGGCAGGATTATGGAGCAGATCACCTTGAGTGAGATCATGTGGGGAGATCAGACACAGCCAGCAAGGGTTTAGGAAGGGCAGGTCCTGTCTGACCAACCTGATCTCCTTTCATGATCAGGTGACCCGTCTGGTGGGTGAGGGGAAGGCTGTGAATGTGTCTGTCTGGATTTTAGCAAAGCCTTGGACACCTTCTCCCATGGCACAATCTTGGAAAAGGCTTGGACAGGACACTCTGTGCTGGGTTAGGAACTGGCTGGAGGGCCAGGCCCAGGGAGTGGTGGGGAACGGGGCTGCATCCAGTGGGATCTGGTCACCAGTGGTGTCCCCAGGGATCAGTACTGGGCCCAGTTCTGTTTAATATCTTTACTGATGATCTGGATGAGGGCACTGAGTGTACCATTAGCAAATTTGCAGATGATACAAAGCTGGGGGGAGTGTTGATCTGCTGGAAGGCAGGAGGGCTCTGCAGAGGGACCTGGACAAGCTGGATCCATGGTCTGATTCCAAGGGGATGAGGTTCAACCAGGTCAAGTGCCAGCTCCTTCATTTTGGCCACAACAACCCCCTGCAGCCCCACGGGCTGGGGACAGA